GGCTCTGGGGACACCCTGGGGCGGTGGCTTTGGGGACACCCTGGGGACACCAGGGGGTGGCTCTGGGGACACCCTGGGGCGGTGGCTTTGGGGACACCCTGGGGACACTCTGGGGACTCCGGGGGGGTGGCTCTGGGGACACTCTGGGGACACTGGGGGGATTTAGGGACACCTTGGGGACATCCTGGGGACACCCTGGGGACAGCAGGAGGGTGGCTCTGGGGACATCTTGGGGGGTGGCTTTGGGGACACCCTGGGGACACCGGGGAGGTGGCCTTGGGGACCCTTTGGGGACAGTGGTGAGGTGGCCTTGGGGACACCTTGGGGACACCGGGGTAGATTTGGGGACACCCTGGGGACACTGGGGGGGGTGGCTTTGGGGACACCCTGGGGACACTGGGAGGGATGGATTTGGGGACACCGGGGGGTGGATTTGGGGACACCCTGGGGACACTGGGGGGGTGGATTTGGGGACACATGGGGACACTGGGGAGGTGGCCTTGGGGACACTGGTGGGCGTGGCCTTGGGGACACCTTGGGGACAGTGGGGGGATGGCTTTGGGAAACCCCTGGGGACTCTGTGGGGGTGGATTTGGGGACACCCTGAGGACAATGGGGAGGTGGCCTTGGGGACACCCTGGGGGTTGGCTCTGGGGACACCTTGGGGACACTGGTGGGGGTAGATTTGGGGACACCCTGGGGACACCCTGGGGGGGTGGCTTTGGAGACACCCTGGGGACACCCTGGGGACACCGGGGATGTGGATTTGGGGACAATCTGAGGACAATGGGGGGTGGCTCTGGGGACACCCTGGGGACACCCTGGGGACACCTCGGGGACACCGGGAGGGGGTGGCCTTGGGGACACCCCGGGGACACCCCGAGGACACCCCGGGGACACCTCAGGGACACCCCGGGGCCGCCTCTCCCGGGCAGGACGTGCTGTCCCTGCTGGTGTCCCCCGGCTCGGCGGTGCCCACGGGGGTCCTGGTGCCCGCGCCGGGCCCCCCCCTGGCCGCGCTGGCGGCGGGGCTGGCGGGGGCCGTGCCCGTCCCGTACCCCCTGGATGAGGCCCGGGAAGGGGCCCCGGACGTGGCCGCGATCCGCCGGGAGCTGCGGGACGCGCGGGGCCGCTGCACCCCCAAAGTGCTCTGGGTCGGCAACCCCGGGCACCCCACGGGTCAGTGCGGGGGGAACGAGGAGACCCGGGGGGGGCTGGGAACG